TCGTTTGCTGTCATTTTACAAAATGCCGGACACTTGTATAAATGATCATGCACAATATCCCTGCACAAACATTTGTATGTATCGGCCATAGCGACCTAAGATTGCGGTTGTGGAACTTTTGCGGTGGGTCGGTGATTCGGGTTCGAATTCGAGGTCAAACTCGAATGATAAGAGCGCTGTAATATATTAACTTGTTCCTTTACATACTCGGTTAAACTTTTAAAATTAGGAATTTTATCCTTTCGAGAATGCATTTCAAAAGAACGAACTGTTTCGGGGTCTAACTTTTTTAAGGCGGTATGTAATATAATAAAATCAGTTAGGTCAGGTATTTGTAAGTTTTTTAATGCGCTAACCGCGTTTACGAACGTATGTAAAAATAATTCTAGGTTTCGAGCAGAAGAGTTAGAAACTGGTTTAAAGTCAAAAATTTGATTGATATAGGTCGATGCTAGCATGCGTTTATCATCGTACTTCTCTATAAGCGCGTTCAAAATAAGTTCATAATTCTCAGCACAAGGAGTAATACCGGCGAACACAGAATGCGTTTTGATTGTTAATTTACCTAGCAGGTAATACAATTTATCGGCGTCTGATAGGGACGGGTTATTATACACAGTGGATTTAAAACTTGCATAAAATGAAGACCATGAGCGGATATCACCATCAAACGACGCTAGCTCTATAGGCGGTAAAGACGGTCGCGATATTGTGGCCGATCTCGGACATTCATTTGTTATTCGACTTGTAAGACAAGACATTACACGTTTTATATGACAGTATAGTTCCTCGAACGTAACCCATTACTGATATTCCACCTTTGCTTCTGGGTAGACTTGCATATTATATAAATTGTACTCGGTTAATACCCTTTCGAAATCACTTCGTAATGCATCAATCGAAATCGCTCCAGAAAGGAACTCTTCCCTGTCCACCTCACTATCTACTTGTTGAGAGCGATCATAAATTGTTTGTAAGCGGTTAAATAAAGAATCGCGCCTAGCTATAGTTATATTCAATAACATCATTAATTTGAGGTCTGGCGTTTCGGTCCTAGATTCATTCGTTTTTGACGCGCTAGTTTTTGACATTTTTATAATAAATATATATAGGAAATATTAAGGTTATAAGTAAAGTTTTAATTTTAATTGGCGAGCGATGGACAAATACACTAATAATTAAATAAATATCATTTTAGTCGATTTTAAAATTAAAAAGCCTAAGGTAGCTATAAGGCAGCAAATTATAAGACCTATAAAAAATATCAATCTGTCAGATTTTGAGTCGGAAGTTGAATCCATAAACTGGGATAGCATTACGAGGTATAATTATGTGAACGATATGGTTTCTGTTTTTTCCAAACGCATTTTAGAGCTGTTTGATAAACATGCTCCAGAGAAACTAATAACTATCCGTAAGAAACAACTGCCATGGTTTACGAGTAATGTTAAGTACATTATGCAGCTCCGAGATGACGCTCACAATAAATATCGTCGCACAAAAACTGAAAAAGATAAAATTCAATACAAAACCCTAAAAAGTCTAGTAAACAGCAGTCTTTATGCTGAGAAGAAGGCATATTTCGATTACCACATTAATCAACATCTACATAATACAAATGTTCTATGGAAAAATTTGAAGTCATTCGCGTTACCGTCATTTAAAAATTCGAATGACTTACCAGAACACTTTAGTGATCCTGACGAAATTAATCGTCACTTTTTGAGTATACCGGGAACAAATAATATCGTCAAATCATTTAATGTAAGGAATCTGGAAAGCAGAAACTGTATCTCTAATACTTTTAGGTTAATACCAGTTCATGAAAATGTGGTTGCAAAAATCATAATGGGTATTAAGTCAAATGCTCAAGGTGTTGACCGCATTAATATGGATATGATAATTCTAACGCTTCCGAGAACTTGAAATGTTATCACTGCAATTATTAGTAAATCAATAACAGAATCTGTTTTTCCTTCTTCTTGGAAAACTGCACTTATTCGTCCAATACCTAAAAAAAGTAACCCAACAAATGTAGGTGACCTAAGACCCATTAGTATACTGCCTTACTTATCAAAAATACTTGAGAAAGTTGTTTACTCACAAGTAATAAATTTCTGTGAAAAAAATCAATTAATACCCAACCTACAATCAGGTTTTAGAAAAAATTACGGAACAGCAACAGCTCTTATTAATGTCGTGGATGATATATTATCTTTTTCGAATTCTGGAGAAGGTACTATTCTCACTTTATTAGATTTTTCAAGGGCCTTTGACTCAATTAACACAAACTTACTGATTTCTAAGCTTTCATATTATGGTTTTGATAATGAAACACTCAAGTGGTTTAAAAGTTATTTAACTGACCGATATCAACAAGTAATTTTAGACAGGCATAATGGTAAAAACTTTATTTCTAAGCTTCTTCCTGTTGATAGAGGCGTTCCTCAAGGATCTGTGTTAGGGCCTTTGCTTTTTATTATTTACAGTGCTGATATAATAAACTGTCTCAAAAACTGTAAATACCATCTATACGCTGATGATTTACAGGTATATATTCCCATAGATCGAAAAAATATTAACACATTAGTAAATAAGTTAAATCAGGATATTCAACGTGTTTGCGATTGGTCACAAAATAACTCCATGGTTCTGAATCCTTCAAAGTCAAAATTCCTTATAATTGGCACTAAAAAGCAGGTACATGATATAGCTATAACTGAACCTGATATACGTGTTAATGGAGAGACAATTGCACAAGTTCATGAAGCACGGAATTTAGGCATTCTTTTTGATAGCAATTTGAGGTTTGAAAATCATGTGATTAATTTGGTACAAAACTGCTTTTACAGGTTAAAAGTTTTATATAAATTTAGACCATTTATCACAGTTAATTTACGTGTAAAGCTTTGTGAAACCCTAGTTTTAGCTAAATTAAATTATTGTATAACTGTTTATGGACCTTGTTTGCTTAAAAAATCACAAAAATTAATCCAGAGGGTACAGAATGCTTGTGCTCGCTATTGTTTTTACATACCGAGACGAACTCATGTTACATCATATCTTAATAACTCGAATATGTTAAAAATGCAGGGGCGTCTCAAACTTTTTTATGCTTCTTTGCTATTCGGCATAATAAATACAAAGAATCCAGAATATTTATACAAAAAACTTAATTGGAGAAATGACCAACATGTATATAAAACCCGAATATGCTCAAAAGTTTTTTGCATCCCTAAACACAAAACATCGGCTTTCCGAGGGAGTTTTAAGTTTATGGCAACTAAGTGTTAGAATGATCTCCCACCACCACTACGCACTACGACAAGTAAATCGAGTTTTAAAAAGAAATATAGACGTCACTTACTAAGAGAACAAATACTGTCATAAGCGGCTTATTTTTACCTAATTGCAGGACTGCCCTGTAAATACTTAAAACAAATAATAAACATTGCTATGTAGTAGGTGGGGAAACAACTTATATGAGATTAAAGAAGTTAGGCTTGTTAATATCAATATTATTTTATAATTTATGTTACTTATTACTAGTTATATTGTTGTAATAATTATTTATTTAAAAAAAATGGTAATAAATATATATATATATATATTTGATTATTAATTTGAACTGGCTAATAGTCGGGGATCCACGGTATGTACCTACCCTAATGTGAATAGTTGTAATTAAAGGGATGCGCGCGTACTGTACTGTTCATATGTTGGGCGCTGGCAGAATAACAGCGTTGTAGGCAACTGCAACATTTATGCTGAGCTAGAGCCCATTCATTACTACATTATGTAATTCTTGTTATTTCTGTATGTACTTTATTGGTGGTAATGAATAAATGCTTATTATTATTATTATTATTATATTATTAAAGCGTCCTAAACACTTAATCTATCGCGGAAATATCAGGTAGGTTTATTAAACTGATCTAAATTTCTTCGTGAGCGAGCGGGTATGTAGACATAATATAATAGCGATAAATATACGGCTTTAAATCAATGTAACAAATATATAATGCGTGTATATATGCGAGAAATTAAGTAAAATATTATATTTAAATGTTTCTAAGCATATATATATATATATATATATATATATATATATATATATATATATATATATATATATATATATATATATATATATATATATGGTTTTAATTATGCCTATTCTGCATCTGAATATTCCAACGAAGTGGCAAAAATGGTAATCGAATTGGAAAGGTTTTAATCTGGGCGAAGTGACCAAAATGGTGCGGCGTGGTTCAAAATTGGAATAAAGTGGACTGTAATAGGTAGTTGGAATTGAATTTCGTTGAAATTTGCAACCGACACATAAAACTGAAGGTACGCACCTGGAGAACGCCGTCAGCTTCTTTTCTTACTTGAGGTTGACACTCGCGTGGTACACTCCTAGTTTTCTTGCGCGACGACCGAGTCCTTTCCGATCGGCTCGACTCATTGGCACTGCGAAGAGATGTTGCATCTCTTTGCATTTTCTTTCGCATTTACCATGGGGAGTGCTCTGAGGAATTGTTCGGATTAATTCCAGCCGCCAAATTTCACAAACGCACATCGTGGCAGAACTCCCAATACCATCCACACCATCTGGATGATTGGCGGTCCACCACTGTGCGATTTAGAAGATGTTTTCTTCCTCGCACAACTTCCATGTGGAATAGTTTACCACCAGCGATTTTTCCGGACCGATACGACTTAGGGACCTTCAAGAAAAGAGCCTACCCCTTTTTAAAAGGCCGGCAACACATCCTCAATTCCCTTGGTGTTGCGGTTGTTCATGGGCGGCGGTAGTCACTTACTATCAGTTGAGCCGCATGCTCGTTCTGCTATAAAAATAAAATTTTACAGACATTTCATTCAAGCTTAAATAAATGAAAACTAAACAAACCTCTTGAAACTGTATTGCCTTCAATAAACTACAAAGTGTTTTTCCTGATTCCATGCAAGCTGTGAAATAATATTGTGAGGTTCCTTCATCCATCATTCTTCTCTTCCAAATCAAACATAGACTTAACCAACATTAAATACTGATTATGAGAAATGTCGTGGTTAACAGTTTTACCCAATATTTGTTGTATCCTTGCTGCTAATACATGTTTGCATGTAACTTGTGTTTTTTTCTCTAAAACTTGGTGTTTAAATGCTCGGCATGGGCAGAAGTTAATACGAGGAAATACTCTATAACATCTGTCGTTTTCACCATTTATTTCTATTAACTCTCGCGATTTGCCTTTAGTACAATAAGTAACAAAAGTTGAATATTTCTCAATTATATCTAATGCCCTTTGCAATACTACGCCAAATACCGAATGCAAAGTAAGTAGATCTTCATCTGAAACTATAATTAACTATTTATGTAAATATATATATGTAAATATAGAATCAAAGAAATTACAAATGTTAGACAAATTATTTAACATTGCTTGACATCTGCTGCATTTATTCTCTCTTCAACTTCATTTAGAACATTTTCGGCAATTGCTGGTACTTTAGACAGAACACAATAACTCATACTCTTAGCGGTTGTAATATTTGATATAATATTAAGTAGTAAAAACACACTTATTAAAATTATTTATTTATTTCAAGCTACCGCATTAAAATTTGGTTTTGAATTTGAAAATTTGAAAGTTTTAGATTTATTTACTTTACCAAAGATTTTTTTTAATAACTGGCTTTACGGCTCTGGGTTCTAGCCCTTATGAGCCCGAAGTTACAATGTATAATTATCCTTAATAGTACTGGTGCGGCGTGGCTCAAAAATGGAATAAAGTGGACTGTAATAGGTAGTTGGAATTGCATTTCGTTGAAATTTGCAACCGACACATAAAACTGAAGGTACGCACCTGGAGAACGCCGTCAGCTTCTTTTCTTACTTGAGGTTGACACTCGCGTGGTACACTCCTAGTTTTCTTGCGCGATTTACACTTATTTTATACAATTCACGGCCGTGATTTTAAGCGTATGATAATTAAACAGATATGCGAGTCGCGAGCGTGACACAATATGCTTCCGCGTGCGGGCGTGTTCTTACTTAGACTTCTCCTTCTACCCGATTGTCGGTCGCAAGAAGGAATTAGTGGAATAAATGAAGGTATTATAGAGGAAATCTGATTCGTCGATAAGATTGACCAAAACGCGGAATATTTTAATTTGAGAAATGGCGGTAACAAGTACACTGCTTCACAATATGCTGATGCGTCACATTGTGCAGCCCTTGGGAGATTTTGACGGCAACTTGAGCCAGCAGACAGCTGACAGGTGGCGATGATATCTCAAGCAGTGTGACAATATGTGGCAGGTTCCTGCAATTTGGGCAGGATTGGCTTCTCATTTTAGCCTCTGGCATGATCGGTTGACGTTTTATAAAACCTGGCAGTATTTGGCAATATTGGGGTATTAAAAATAGATTTCATTATCGCAACTTAAACTGCTGAAAATGGCAACCCTAGATACTTCGCCAGCATGTGGGGGAATTTCCCAAGAAAAAGAAAAGACTTGATCCCTACACCCCAACCCCTTTCTAAATCCAGCTTGCACATCCCAAATTTTTCCATAAGTTTCTTCCATAACTCTTTCAATTAACACCTTAGCATACAGTTTGCCCACAATGCTAAGCAAGCTGATACCACGGTAGTTTTTACAGTCCTGCTGCGACCCCTTTCCCTTATATATTGGGACTATAAGGGCTTTGCACCAGTCTTCCGGTACCCGCTTCAGTTCCCAACATAAATTAAACAAGGTGTACAGCATGCCTGCAACCACGCCCTCTCCAGCCCTTAGCATTTCGAGTGATACTCTATCATATCCGGCTGCCTTACCTGCTTTCATGCTTTTCATTGCTTTCATTATTTCATCTACACTTATCTCCCTACCTCTCTCCACTTCTTCCGTAATTTCTATTTCACTTACTTCAGACGACTTTTCACTCTTAAACACGCTTTCAAAGTATTCCTTCCATCTCTTTAAATTCGAAACTTCATCATTCAGCATGCAGCCATTCTCGTCTCGTATAGCATTCATTCTAGGCTGTTTTGAATTTCCCCTGGCAGTTCTTACGAGCTTCCAGAACATTTTAATATTTGCTTGGAAGTTATCAGATATCCTTCTATCATTCTTATCTATCCTTTCTTGCTTTTTCCTTTCAACAACTTCTTTTACTCTCTTATTTATACGTCTAATTTCTGCCTTTTATATTGCAATCTCATCATTCATACCGCCAGAATTACCAGCCTTGGTTGCTAGTAAATCTAGCCATGCTCTCTTCTTTGCTTCAAGTTCCATCCGTATCTCGTCATCCCACCACAACATATTATACTTTTCCTTTCATTCGTTCTCTTACTTACACCACATACTTCGGTGGCTGTAACCACCAAAACTTTCTTAACATTATTCCATACATTCTTCAAGTCTAAATCATTCATACATAATTCATTCAACACACTTATATTTTCCCTCAGTCTGCATTTATACTTCTCTTTCACACCTTCATCTTGTAACCTCTCTATTCTTATACGCTGTAACGCAGTGGTAGACACAGATGTCCGATGCCGCCAACGCTTGAATTGACCATTAATTCGGCATAAGACCAAGTAATGATCCGTCCCTACGTTGGACCCACGGTAAACCCTTGTATCTACCACGGCGCTCCTCATTCTTTCATCCACGATTATGAAATCTATCATCCCCTCTTTCCCAAGTATACATGTGAATCCTCTTATGGCGAAAGTGTTCGCCACAAAAATGTTCTTTTCCACACATACGGTGAGGAGGTCTTCACCATTCTCATTTATTCTTTCATCGCCAAACGCTCCTAATATCCTTTCATAACCAAACCTCATCACCCCAACCCGTCCATTAAAATCTCTTAACATAACGGTATAACAAGTGCTCTGATGGTAATGTGATGTAATACTACTACTAATATTAATACTCAAGATAAGACACCTTAGTTTCCACTAATAATTCACATGCACAGACATTTAATACACAAAATCGCACTACTTTTACATATCCAAATCCACTTCAAACCATTATTTAAACAATAATACATAAGCAGTAATCCGTTGCCGGTCAAGTTCCCGCCAAAACTCACTTTACCAAAGAGCAGTGCATAGATCACAGACTAACTAGTATTTTTTTTTTGGAGTTTATGGCCTGGTATCTAGACCTTTAGGCCAAGTCTTAAGTATTTTTATTCGGTTTATTGTAATTTCCCCACTCCTTCATAGTATACTGCTTCACAATATGTTGATGCGTCACATTGTGCAGTTCTTGGGAGATTTTGGCGGCAACTTGATCCAGCAGACAGCTGATAGTTGGCGATGGTATCTAAAGGTGCCTATGCAAACAAACAGCTTATCTTGAGAATCCATCACCATCAGAGCACTTGTTTCACTGTTTCCACTAATAGTTCACATGCGTAGACACTTAATACACAAAATCGCAACACTTTTACATATCAAAGTCCACTTCAAACCATTATTTAAACAATAATACAGGAGCAGCAAACCGTCGCCGGTCAATTTCCCGCCAAAACTCTCGACTAACTAGTAGATTCTACCGCAGTGTGACCATCTTTAAAATACAGTTCCTGCCTTACTTTGGGTAAAAACCTGCCAAATCCTGCCAAAGTCTGTAGTGAAAATGCCTAAATACTGCTAACTTTAAAAGTAAAAATACACATTGAAGTGCTATATTTTTTTTTTAATTAAAATTAAACACTGCAGTTAACATCATATTCTTCATTTTATTCATATTTATGGATGGATTTATTGATTCTATTTAACATATCTTTTATTGGTTTGAATGCAATGCAATCACCATGCTCACCAATACCTAGCTTAATGTGCAATATATACGCTACATGTTTGTTTATGAATCTGTTTCGTGTTTTAGACTTTATTAAATTTATTTGAGAGAATATTCTTTCGCATGCAGCATTGGACATTGGTAAGCACCATCAGAATTTCGCATTTTACCGATAGAACCCCAAAAATTGTCAACACTTAGAACAGAATTCGTATTACTGCTACCACTAGATTCTAATAAATCACAAACTTCTTTATCAATCTCTAACTTTCGGTACTCGTCATCAATTTGCTGAATTTGTTTTTCAACAGCAAGATTGGGAAATTGGTTTATAATATTTCCTATCGAACTAAAGCCTTTATACACAAGGTGTTGAGGAGACAAAAACTGTAAATCTTTAAAGAGTGTATTAATGGCAAGCTTGTTTTTAATTGAGTTAAAAGTTCAACCAAAAAGGATTTGCATACGTTCGAGAAACGTTTGTATTGCACTTTTTAGGAAGTTTTCTCTTGCTAGACGAGTAATTTCTCTGCTAACTTTAACACCTGAGTAAATCCTTTCCACCATCGGACAACCAGACGGTCGGCGGGTCTTCATCCATTCGTTGTCGATCAACACATTAGAACTAAACGGTTTGCTTCGTCTTTTGTAATGCGTACAGCAAAGGAGTGGAATAATTTGCCGGCGTCTATCTTTCCGTCCGAATACAATCTAGCCGTCTTCAAGGCAAGAGTGAATAGGCTTTTGTTACGATAAGACAGTGCGATTTACCATCTAAGGCTGCATCACCACTTACCACCAGGTGGGATTGTGGTCAAGCACTGGCTTATAAGAAGTAAAAACAAATCTCTTTGAGTGGCAAAAAATTTACTACAGATCTAGGATCTATAAGGGGTAACTACAGTTGTGTCTCGTCAGCAACGCAAAGTCGGGAATTTGCATTTGGAAAAATCCAAAATTAGGGGCTTTTTAGGTGCTGTTTAGGTTAAAAATTTAGTTTTCACTGCTGAAGATTTTTCAGAGTAGCACTTGATTACTATGACAAGCATTTTAGTTGACGAAACATCTGTACTTTTATCAATAATTATGGAGTAAACTGGTGCTCGAATAGTAATATTCAGACAAGAACTCATATCTGCGTGCATTTCCCTCTCCAATTCAGGTTTAGAGACATTATATGTTATAGCAGCTGCTTTAGTTCTTTTACAGGAGAACAATTTTACCACCTCTGGATTACTAAAACATTTGGAGATTATTTGACTTACATTATATTACATCATCATATTACAGTATTACACGATACGGAAAATTGTGTTCTACCAAAAAATCACAAACGTTTAGCTCTGTTTTTTTAATTTCTTCTTGCAAGGAAGATTTTTAAAAAATTGTTTGCATCTGATATAATTCATTAAATATATTTTAAAATGAAAAATACATTCTTGTGGGTGTAAGATTAAATAAATAAACAAATATTAGCTTAGCACTGCGATAGGACGTTCGATCTGGTTAAAAATAAATATAACTATTACAATCTGTTTATTTTATTAAACTTACCGAAAGCTGCCCACTGAAGCCAGTCATATTTTTTGATGCTTAATAGTCGCGGCATGCTCCTTTAAAGCGGACAGCCGAGATGCCAATTTGCAATTACAGGTTTTACAAAAGGACACGTCTGTTTCATCTTTACTTTTGGAGATCCAC